GCCATGGCGCCCCCAGGGACCGGCGCCGGCGGCGGCTCTCCCTTGACGGCGGCGGCTTCTCCTTCGCGAACCTTCCGGGGGGGAGGGGGTCGGACCGCGCTGCCGCGGAGCGCGTGAACCCAGTCCTCTCACGCGGCGGGCGGCGGCGCGAGACTCACAAAGAGGGAGGAGAGAGGGCGCCGCGGGGGCGGGCCGGGGCGGCGGGGCCGCAACCTGCGATTGGCGGAGCGTTCGTCCTTCTCGATGTGCGCTGGGATTGGCCGAACCGTTAGGCCCAGCGAGGAAATGGCGGCGTAGCCCGGTGGGCTGGGAAGTGTCGCAGCGCGCACTTCATTTGTTACTGCGAGGACTAAGCTCAGAAGGCAGAAAGGAGGGCGATAGGGTAGGACAAACTATGACGTCGGGACAAAGCTCTGTCATTGGCCACATATGGTTGAGTCAATCAATCTCGTGTGAGTCATACTTCCGTGTGATTGGCTGAGATTACAAGAAGCCTTTCTCTAGTCCCCGCCCCTGGGAGCAGTAATATTAGGATTAAACAAGAGATCCGGGCTGAAAAGCACCAGGCCGAAGGTTTGTGGCAGGAGACAAGTGAAACGCAGAACGCCTTCCTACGTGAGGCCAAGCGGCTTCTGCGCCCCTCAGCGCGCCTGGTTCTGAGCGGAAGCCTTAGATGACGTCAATCCTTGTTCCCGTGGCAACTAGGAACCTGGCGATTGAGGGGGAGGGGTATGCGCTGGCAAACTGATCGTTGGCTGGCAGGTAGAACTGCACTTCCTGTTTTGTTTGAAAAAAACTTGTGACCCAAAACAGCTTTAAAAATAGCGGCCTGCAAGTCCTGGTGGCAAATACCTGTAATCCCAGCGTTTGGGAGGCTGAGGCTGGAGAATCGTTCCAAGTTCGAAGCCAGCGTGGGCTACAAAGTGAACACAAGGCCTGCCTAAACTGCATAGTGAGACCCTTTCTCAAAAAGACCAAAAAATATATATATAATAACAATTGCTTTTCTGTGAGCATTTTTAAATTTTATAGTTTGTAGTGATTATATTCATCAGAGTTGGTGCACATACATCCTCCCCAAGTTTGGTTGTTTTTTTTTTTTTTTTTTTTTTTTTTGAGAGGGCCTTAAAAAAAGAGGGTCAGGGCGGGGGAGATTGCTGGGGCCAGGGAGATGGCTCAGTGGATGAAGCACTTGCCTGGCAAGTGCAAGGGCCTGAGTTCAATCCCCAGTTCCAAAAAAAAAAAAAAAAAAAGAGGGTCTTATTATATAGTCTAGTCTTTGAATTTTTTAAAATGTATTTTAATACAGGGTCTCACTATACAGATAGGACTCGTAGTGATTGATTCTCCTGTTTTCGGCCTGCCAAATGCTGGGATTACAGGCGTGCGCCACCACGCCCAGTCTCAGTGCCTCTAAGGGCACAGGGTCCTGCACAGTAGGCCTGGGATGGAAGCCCCAGCCCCTGCATCCCCTTAAGGAGGCACTTTAATCCACTGAGTTCTCTGGCTGGCCCTTTCAACGCATAAAAAGGGGGCCAGAGATATAGCTCAGTGGCATAAACGCCTGCCTAGGTAGTGCAAGGTCCTGAGTTTGATTCCCAGTACAAAAACACATAGAAAGGGGTTTAGTGCAGAAATCCAGGGTTGAATCCCATTATGCCCCAAGGGGGGTGGGAAGCAAAACAAAAATAAATAAATAAATAAATAAAGCTTTTTGAATGGACAAATCTTGGAATAGCAAACCCAAAGAGCCAAGAATAGTGGGGAAATGTCGATTAAAGTGACAGACATCCCATTATCTGGTTTTTTGTTTTTTGTTTTTTTGTTTTTTGGGTTTTTTTTTTTTTTGCAGAACCAGGGGTTGAACTCAGGCCCTTGAACTCGGGCCTTTGCGCTTGCCAGGGCTGCGCTTATAATTGAGCCATCTCCCCAGCCTCCCATTATCAAAATAGCAAAACCTAAATATTGTAACACCTACTATTGCAAATCTGTGAAGTATTGTGTTGTCTGTTTTTACCCCATCTGATCCCTAGGCTCTGCAGCAAGCACTCATATTCCTGTTACACATGAAGCTCTGACAGAAGGGTTGGTTGAGGGGCCGGGGAGATAGCTCAGTAGAATAAGCGCTTGCCTGGCAAGCTCAGGGTCCTGAATTCAATCCCCAGTTCACAAGCAAGAAGGGTTGGTTGGGGGCAGGGGAGATGGCTCAGTGGAATAAGCGCTTCCCTGGCAAGCACAAGGGCCAGAGTTCGGTTGGGGGGGTGGATAGGTGTAGAGTCCTCTGCATTTACCACAGCACTGCAGAATCAACAGTGATTTCCATGTGGGGATGGGACTGGAACACTTTTAACCTAGTGTAACCTGGATGATTACAACCTTGGAAAGCTGCTAACCCACTCCCACTCCCACTGCCCTAGGGGCACTTCTGTGTGGTATTATTAAATGAGCAAGAGCTATACACTGTACATCGTACTGGAGTTTTTGGTTTTTTGAGTCAGGATCTGCTATGTAGTTCAAATTAACTTGAACCCACAGCATAGCTCAGGCTGGCCTTGAATTTGAAATCAATCCCCTGCCACAGCCTCCCGGTGCTAGGATTACAGCTGTGTGCCACCACACCTGGCTCCTGTTTTTGCAAAACAAACCCATTGTACATATGCACTTATTTGTACACACAAAT